CTACTGTAAACGACACTCTCTCATATAGAAGTATTGGTCCTTGACGCGCTGTAATGGCCCGCCACACCCATACACACGCTCCGAAACGCACTGCTAAGACAGTCAAGCGCTCAAATAAACGAAATTGTATTTGTTACATTGTAAACGACACTTTCTGGTATAGATATAGAAGCCTCTGACTCCCTGTAATGAATGGCCTGCAAGACAAACAGCGAGGAAACTGTGAGATGCGATCTTTGCGAAGCGAAAATATATATGCGAAAGCGAAGTATAAATATTTATATGCTGTTCCGCTAAACTTCTACATTTTGTGTTTACTCAACCCTAGTATTAAAGTGTGAAGCTTAGTTAGCGATGGTATGTGTGCGTGTGTGTGTGTGTGTGTGTGTGTGTGTGTGTGTGTGTGTCTGTGTGGGTGTGTGTGCGTGTGCGTGTGTGTATGTGTTTGTGTCGTACGTCTATATGCGGGTTCGACCTCCTATCGGAAACTGTAACATTTACCACCACCCTCTAAATATCGTTAGAATTCTAACATTGACCCCACCTCACCTCGCACCCAAGCACCACCCACCCCATCACACACCTCTCCACCCACGCTATCTAATCTCACCACGCCCCCATTCCCACCCACTCCACCCCCACCACGCCTCAACACCACGCGCCCCATTACACCCCCATCACCACCCTCCCCACCCACTCCTCCCCTTTCCAACCCACCATGCCCACTCCCATCACCACCCTCCCCACCCACTCCTCCCCTTCCCAACTCACCATGCCCATTCCCATCCCCACCAACCCCAACTCCACCCCACCCCATCCCACGTACCCATCCCGCTACAACTAACCGTTGTCGTTAACGGCGTTACCTTCGCATCGTGACCTTGTGTTTTTTAGCCGTATGTTGGATGTTTTTTTTTCTCCGTCGCAGCTTTCTCCGTCAGCCTTCTCGTCATCTCGCATTTCGGTGGAAGCGGACACAAGCCGCGCTGGATCGGTGGCGGACTGATTGTGATGGCACTGGGAGCGCTGGTGTTCGCCATTCCGCAGTTTGCCGTCGGTCTCTACGCTCCAGGCAGCCTGGCGGAGAGCGTATGCGATGGTAGGCAGAGAGAGAGAGAGAGAGAGAGAGAGAGAGAGAGAGAGAGGGAGGGAGAGAGGCGTGAGCAGACAGCGAGAGGGAGAGAGACGAGAGCGTCGAGAGATGAGAGAGAGAGAGAAGGAGAGAGAGTGGAAATAGAAGTGGTGTGTGAGAGGAGACGCAGAGAGAGAGAGAGAGAGAGAGAGAGAAGAGAGAGAGAAGAGAAGAAAGAGAGACGAGAGAAGAGAGAGAGAGAGAGAGAGAGAGAGAGAGAGAGAGAAAGGAAAGCATTATCCTGTAAGCGTTATTGGGAGGTGGAGAGAGAGGGAGGGGACGGAATCATCTTGCTAATTGTGATTTGCTTACGCGGCGCGTGCTGTGTGCGTGTATTAATTAGCCATAATAAAAATGTAAAATCTAATAATATTTCGCCATATTTCTCATGCACGTATATCAACGTAACCTCCGTCTCTAGTATGTACTCTTGATAATAATATTATATAGATATATATATAGTATATATATACACACACAATTATATAAATTTTTTTGTTTTTTTTTTTTTTTGTTTTTTTTTTAATTTTTATTTTTTTTGGGGGGGGGTTTCTTTTCTTTTTTTATAACATATATATCAAGGAAAGACATAATAGATATTGATATACGTATTATTAATCTCCTATTATTACTCTGATAATAGTATATATAATATATATACTATAATATATATATACTATATATATATATAATATACACACACACATATATATATATATTATAATAGCGTATATAATCTCTCAAATATGTACTCTTGATATATATATATATATATATATATATATATGTGTGTATAGGATATATATATATATATATATATATTCATATACCCACACACATATATATATATTATCAAGAGTACATAATATAGATTATAATAGCGTACATAAGCTCTATTATATGTACTCTTTATATTACATATATAAGACATCAGATCTCATCCGCAGCCCGACGTAACGACACAGCGCCACCTGTCGACTGTTCTCGCGGCTCTCTGCTGTCCAGCTACGCGTACGTGTTCTACCTGGCGCAGTTCCTGCACGGCGTCGGAACTACTCCGATAATAGTGCTCGGCATCACGCTCATAGATCAAAGCGTCGCCGCTAACATCACCGCCCTCTATCTCGGTACGCCACCCGATTATTCGTAATTAATCAATTAATCGATCAATGGATCGATCGATCGTTTACTCGTTCAATCAATCATTCAATTACTCAATCAATCAATTACTTAATTAATCATTCAATCAATCGATTATTTAATCGATCGATCATTCAATCGATTCATCAATTGACAATACAATGATTACGTGCGGCGTTACAAATATCGGATGCGAGTGCCTGTGACGATTTTCCTCAGGTATATATTTCATGATGCAAGTGATAGGACCAGCTATTGGATATGTGATCGGTGGCTTACTACTCGGCGTCTATGGAGACGTGGGAAAGACTGACATATCAACGTAAGAGGCTGCTATTAATAACACAATATCGATATTATTCAATCGATCGCAGACTAGTCGCCTTGTATTCGCTGAAGTAGTCTATACTACAGAATATCCTATAGTATTATATCAGCGCATATCAGGTAAAGCCAGTGACGTTTCATGGTATATATATGTATGTATGTACATGTATATATATATATATATATATATATATATATATAGTGTGTGNATATAATGTGTGTGCGTGCGTGTGATTTACGTGGTAGGTAATAGATTTTCAGGCGAGAGCGAAAGTGTGAGAGAGAGTGAAAGAGAGAGAGAGAGCGAGAGAGAGACAGCAGACAGACAGAGAAAGGGAGAAAGAGAAAGAGCGCGCAAAAGCGCGCGCGAGAGAGAGAGAGAGAGTGAAGCAATTAATATATACAATACTTCACCGTCATTGCTATCTATCGATCTCATTATCGATCTCATCGTTTCTGTGCTACCTGACACTCAGGGTCACGCTGACGAAGATTGACCCGCGGTGGTACGGCGCCTGGTGGATCGGTCCTCTTATTGGTGGATCGCTCGCTCTCATCTCCGCCATGCCCATACTCGCCTACCCCAGAGTGCTACCAGGTATATACACGCGTGTCTGATGGTGATGTATGGTTGTATGATGCAGAGAGGTGTTTTACTAATGATGTATGGTTGTATGATGCAGCGAGGTGTTTTACTAATGATGTATGGTTGTATGATGCAGCGAGGTGTTTTACTAATGATGTATGGTTGTATGATGCAGCGAGGTGTCATACTAATGATGTATGATTGTATGATGCAGCGAGGTGTTTTACTAATGATGTATGGTTGTAACTGGTGTTTTACTGGGTATGATTATTCTCGTTCTGCCGTTTTCTTTTTTGTTTTTATATCTTTCTCTTTTACTTGCTTCTTTCCTTCTTTCGTCCTTTCTTTTTTCTTCTTCTTCATTCTGTGTCTCTCTCCCCGCTTTCTCTTTTTTGGTCTCTCTCTTTCTTTCTCTCTCTCTTTCGTTCTCTCTCTCTCTCTCTCTCTTTCTTTCCCACTCTCTCTCTCTCGCTCTCTTTCTCTATCCTATCATTTTATCGCGCTCTCTCTCACTCTATTTATTTCTCTATTTCGTGCTCTCTCTCTTTTTCGTTCTCTCTTTCTTTTTCGTTCTCTCTTTCTCTATCTCTTTTCCTCTCTCTCTCTCTCTCTCTCTCTCTCTCTCTCTCTCTCTCTCTCTCTCTCTCTCTCTTCCTCTCTCTTCCTCTCTCTCCCTGTTTCTCCCCCATCTCTATCTCGCTTTGCCTCGCTCCACGTTTAATTCAATTTCCTTAATACTAATCCACACAACTAATCACCGTCATTTCACTAATTCGCCGCTAGGATCGCGCGAGCGGCGCGCACACGACGTCGTCGAGGTTCACGGCGCCGCCGACGACGAAGACGTCGCCACGACGACCGACGTCGGCGACGGCGTCACCGTGCGCGATCTGCCGCGGATGCTGCTCTCTCTGGCGACGAACCCAACGTACGTCTTCATAGTGCTGTGTGATGCCGTGGAGGCGTTCATGGTTGGAGGCTTTGCGGCGTTCGCTCCCAAGTTCCTGGAGAATCAATTCAGCTGGAGTCCCCGCAAGGCGGCGCTCACCACCGGTAGGTGTCGCTGTCAGAGAGAGAGAGAGAGAGAGAGAGAGAGAGGGGGAGAAGGGGAGGGGAAGAGATGGAAGCGGGAGAGGGAGAGGAAGAAAGAGAGAGAGGGGGAGAAGGAAAGGGAGAGATGGAGAGAGGGAAAGAGACAGAGCGAGAGAGAGAGAGGGGGGGGGAAGAAAGAAAAAGAGAAAAAGAGAGACAGACAGAGAGCGAAAGAGAAAGAGAGAGAGAGAGAGAGAGAGAGAGGCGGAGAAACAGAGAAACAGAGAGGGGGGAAACAAAAAGAGAAAGAGAGAGACAGAGAGAGGGGGAGAGGGAGAGAGAGGTGAAATATTTAGTGATATATAATGTGTGGGTTTATATACATATATGTGTGTGTATGTAATTACTCAGTACCTCCGCCAAGGTGGTAATGTTTTCGCCCCTGTTAGTTTGTTGGTTTGTTGGAATGTCTGTCAACAGGATATCTCAAAACGTTACGGACGGACTTTGATGGGCCAACAACCAATCGATTAGATTTTGGTGGTGATCCGGATCCAGTGAAAAATTTTGGTGGGGAAGAATTCGGACGTATTCAAAATTCATCAAAAAAATCCTGGATTTTTTTTTCAAATTTCTTAAAATGTTATCAAACTCTATATTGGGTGTACCAGCAAGATGGGGGTGGGGGGACTGTTACGCTGTGGCGGAGGTTTGCTATCTCCAAATGCTCTTGTTTATATATATTATAATGAATGTTGTCATGTCGTATGTCGCCACGTCACGTTCGTCGTAATGCGTTATTTAGGTGTTATGGTGATCGTTGCTGGAGCGACGGGCATCGTTGCCGGGGGCTGGGTCGTCAAGCGCTGGAAACTCGGTATCCGGGCCATCCTCAAGCTAACGGCCGTCACCGTCGCCGTGTCGCTAGTCAGCGGAGTGGGGCTGGCCCTCAGGTGCCCCAACGCCGCATTCGCAGGTGTCACATTGCCCTACGGCGTCAACGAGTAGGTAGAGACGGGCCGCACGCGCCTAAATAATATTTAATTTATATGTGTGTGTATTATATGTATTATATGTATTATATATTATATATTATATATTATGTATTATATATTATATATTATATATTACATATTATATATTATATATTATATATTATATATTATATATTATATATTATATATTATATATTATATATTATATATTATATATTATATATTTTATATTATTATAATGTAGACATGGGACGACGTGAACGACACGACGTGCGGGAGGATGAGATTTTCTTGATTATTACGTTTTGCAGAGAACCTCCAGTCTTCCTCCTTCCCCACGTATGAGGAGCCGCGGGCGAGGACTGGTCCTGATTCGTGTTCCCTGTCTCCGTTAAACATCAGTATGTACCAGCAGCCGACATCATAGTATCAGGAGTGAATAATAATAGATTATTATATTATTATATATCATATCTATTATTAATCACTCCTGATAGTAATCGTATATCGTGGCCTGTAACACTATGTTCTGTAGCGTTGTGTTTTGTAGCAATAAGACCTGTAACAATGTATCATGTAGCTTTGTGTTCTGTGTCAACAAGGTTTGTAACAACGCATCATGTAGCATTGTGTTCTATAACAATAAGGTCTGTACCAACAATGTGTCATGTAGCATTGTGTTCTATAACAATAAGGTCTGTACCAACAATGTGTCATGTAGCATTGTGTTCTATAACAATAAGGTCTGTACCAACAATGTGTCATGTAGCATTGTGTTCTATAACAATAAGGTCTGTGACAACAATGTGTCATGTAGCAGTGTGTTCTATAACAATAAGGTCTGTACCAACAATGTGTCATGTAGCATTGTGTTCTATAACAATAAGGTCTGTACCAACAATGTGTCATGTAGCATTGTGTTCTATAACAATAAGGTCTGTGTAGAAATATGTCTTGTAGCAATATGGTATCTGACACTATAATTGCAGCAACATGGCTTGTAGCAACATATTTCGTGGTAACATTGTCTGTAGCAACATATTTCCTGGTCTCTAATGATATCTGCTAACTTGTTCTGCCGTATTAAGTGAAAGGTTTGACTTAACATAGATATCTAAACACGAGTAATATTTGCCTAAACATGTGTAATACACGCATGTAGTACGCGTATAATCTTTGTATAAACATTCAACATTTAATTTATGTATGTTATATGTTATGAGCCAAATCGTCACGATTTGCAGAGCCGGTGCGTGCTGCCACCTACCGACACGCTCCGGAGCCAGCGGAGTCACCAGTGGAGAGCGTGTCTCCTGACATCACCGCTTACAGTCCGCCTCCGCCTCCGCCTCCGCTTACAGTCAAGAACGCTAGTAAGTTCCCGATGAAATAGTCTCCCCTACGCCTCGCTCTTTCTCTCTCTCTCTCTCNCACGCACGCTTCTGCACGCGCGCGCACACACACACGCACGCATACACGCGCATGTACACACACACACCCACGCACGCATACACGCGCATGCACGCGCGCGCGCACACACACACGCACGCACACGCATGCACACATACACACACACACACACGCGCGCGCGCACGCACACACGCACGCATGCGCGCGCGCACACACACACACACACATGCACACCACATATATACGTATACATGCGTGCCTGCGTATGCTTGTGCGTATATGTGCGTGTATGTGCGTGCATGTGCGTGTTTGTATGTGTTCATGCGTGACTGTATGTGCATACACGCACACGCACACGAACCCGCACCCGCATACGGACATTCACATGAACACGCACCCACATCACAGGCACACAAACAAACACACACCCACACACTCTCGCATATATATATTAGATATATATCAAGAGCTAATAATTAGTATAATAATAATATAAATATGTGCGTATGTTTGTTTGTTTATTTGTTGTTGTTGTTGTTGTTGTTGTTGTTGTTGTTGTTGTTGTTGCTGCTTGATGCTGATTGTTGCTCTCTCTATCTTGTTCTAGATTCTCTCTCTCGTGTTTGTTATCCTGGCGATAATCTTCTACAAGCAACCGAAGTCGGCGGCCATATCAATGACGACGGTCGCCGAGCCTGACGTCACTACCGGTAACAAGCCGCTACCGGAAGCGTTCGATGACAACGGGACGACAAGAAATAATCAAGTCGAGCCACGTGACTCGTGTCACCTGTAGGACGAAAGAGAGGGAGAGATAGCGAGAGATAGAGGGTAGAGGCGAGAGAGAGCGAGAGGGGGGAGAGGGAGAGAGAGAGAGAGAGAGAGAGATGGAGAAGAGGGAGAGGGGGTGAGCGAGCGAGTGAGGCAGAGAAAGAGAGAGAAAGAGAGAGAGAGGAAGAGAAGAGAGGCAGAGAGAGCAGGCGAGAGAAGCGAGAGTGACTGAGACAGGGAGAGAGAGAGAGCGAGACAGAGAGAGGGGAAAGAGAGCGCGAAAGAGAGAGAGGTAGAGAGAAAGGGTGAGCGAGCGACAGAGGCAGAGAAAGAGAGAGAGCGCGCGAGAGATCGGAGAGAGGAGAGAGAGAGAAGAGAGCGAGAGAGAGGGAGAGAGAGAGAGAGAGAGAGAGAGAGAGAGCAGAGTAGAGAGAGGAGAGGCGAGAGAGAGAAAGCGAGAGACGAGAGAGAGAGAGAGAACGAAAGAGACGAGAGAGAGAGAGAGAGGGCGAGAGAGAGAGAGAGAGAAGAGACAGAGACCGCCGAGAGAGAGAGAAAGAGAGCAGAGAGAGAGAGTAGAGAGAGAGAATGAGGAGAGAGAGAGAGACGAGAGAGAGAGGCGAAGCGGCAAGGTTCCTGTCAGGAAATATCCTAGAAATTCTCATTTCGTGCAATAGTGTAGTCATTGCATTTTCTTATATAGATAAGCAAAGTATACAATTAGTAGCATACCGCCTTGTTGGGACGTGGCAATCAGTATAAATACGATCTGGAATTTTCCATTTATCTTATTAAGAATTTTTTCTATCGTACAAGTTGTAGACTACGTAGTATTTTCTACCCGTTCCTTGTCCTACAGGCGCGTCTCAAGTGCGCTCTTTGCATGCGTGCGTGTATCGCAGTGTGCGTACGTGAGTGATGTGTGTGCGGCGTCGCGTGCGTGTACGTGGCGTGGCGTGAGTGTGTGCGTACGTGCGTGCGCGGGCGTAGAATGTCCCGTACATAATGCAATGACTCTCGAGTATACTCCGCCTCCACAGAAATAACATTCAACTTCTACGTTGTACTGGCAGACTTGGCGACAAGGCTAGGCGTCAAGTGAGCGATGCAGTACGTTTCAAGGTGTTGAACAAAGTAGATGGTGTCCTGTTCTCAAATAGAGCTGCAGGCCTGAAGAACGCATCGAACAGGAAATAATTAAACTACTCCACTGTTACTTTCGCGCTTACGACAACATACACTTCTATCACCAGTTAAATAACTACAGATTCATCGCTCTAAACCTGCTCCGCTCGAAACTTTTGGCGCAGCCTCTATGATGCGAATTTCGCGCAAAGTTGTCTGAACACATTTCATGCACAAACAAACACCAACCGGTGACTGTGCTACGCCACTGACGAATGTCACGAATACACAACAAAAATATATTTTAGACTTCTAAGGCTTTCTAGACGTCCAACGAGGCATCTAACTTGCGTGCATAATGCAGAGATTATTGCACTCACGTGCCGAATTCCTGCGAAAAAAAATGCTAAAAAATGCATTTTCTAGAGACGATATAGTGCAACGGTGAACAATTGCGGAGGCTTACTGTTGTATGCCTCCTAAACTGTGGCTGTGTTCTGGGCGAAGCCAGTAGAACGAAAGTTACACGTATCTATAGATGGGGGGAAATGGAAGGAAGGAGAAGAAAGGTTGCGATTGCAACGGATGTAAATGTGATCGTGTTGAAATGCATTATATTTTATAATAGTATCATGCCTGTACATTATTTTATGTATAACTATTTCTATTGCACCAATCCGTTTTATTGTATTATGTTATCGCGCTAATTGACTTCATAGGCGCATATATATATATATATATATATAGGCTCCGCATGTCGCGTAGCATTTTCGTTCAGCATCAGGTGTTATTTGTTAATTATTAAATAAACAAATTTAAGTTAATAAAAAAATTAAGGCTGTGCCTTTTTGGTAGGCTTTTTACACCGCTATCACGTGTTAGTGTCGTTTGGTGACATGCGGCTCAAATGCAGGAATCTCTTCTTCTACTTTCGTCTCGTCTCTTCCCGACGTTTCTTTACTTTCTGTTTCTGGTCTCTTTTCTTCTTCCCATACTGACACTTTCGTCTTCTTTTTTTTCCTTATGATCTGATATAGCCTTTGATATTTGAGTTCACGTCAAGTGTAGCGCAGCAAATATAGTTGCAACGTGCAAGATATGAGGTTAGTGCAAAAGAAATTGCGAAGGCGATAAAGATAAATGGAGAGGGCAGGTGGCGCAATATATTGATGAAAGCATATAATTATAGGTGAAAGATGAAAGCCCTTGTGTAAAACTAAATGTCGGATTAGCCATCTTGTTTTAACTATATATATAGAGATTGAAGGAATGAGAGAGAGAGAGAGAGAGAGAGAGAGAGAGAGAG